GTCTTTTTCCCGACAGTTTTTTATAGTTGAAAACAACCAGCAAGCCTTTGATGACCTTGACCAAGGGCACTGTATTTTGAAGCTGTCAGGTATGAGGAACGGACCCAGACGACTGAGCTGGCTTCTTCTGCATAAGGGTTTCCTTCAGGGACAGCCTGCCCCACCTGAGAAACTACCCATCCTGTGTGTTCTCCCAGCAGGGAGGCCGTGAGCCTCCCGATGCCGAGACCCAAAGAAACACCTCGCTGCTGTAACTGTCCCCCCTGGCACTAACAAGAGCTGTGTTTTGAAAGTGTTGGGGTGATAGAGGGACCCCCCAAAGAATTCATGTGTGTTAAAAACCCAATGAGGAACAAGTGGTGATTTTTATGCAAACACTAAATAAGCCTTAGTAAATAAACCTCTATTTTGGAATCACAAACACATACACAAACTTTGGAGCTAGTGAAGGCCGTTTGTAACGACTGCTGAGCGCTCAGAACTGGAGTTGAATTGGGATAGAAATCCTGCTAGTAGCCCCTGATGCCTGAAATCTGAGTGCTCTACTTTTAGGCTTTACAGTCCCAGTGTTTGGGGCCTGCCTATTAAAACATCCCTGGTTGGAAAGTGTTTGTGTAGAAGCCATAAGTATTAAGTATTTGCTGTGTTTACCATGCTTAGCTCTCTGTAAGGAATATGGAATAATGTTAAACGCCTCATGTTCTCAAGAAGCTTGAATTTTAAAATAAAAAAGAATATAAATATTAAAAATAAAAAAGAAGAAGCTTGAGTTTTAGGGGCAAAATCAGGCAGGCAGGCGAGCAGTTAAGAGCCAGCAGTCCCAGATTGTGAGAGGGATGTCCATGGGATCAGGCCTAAACCGGCAGTCGGACATTCCCCAAAAGGTCCCGGATGGCAAGAGGGTGCAGGCTGGGCTGAGGGACCCACCCCCGACCCCTCCCGTGCACAAATTTTGTGCACCGGGCCTCTAGTTAGTAATAATACAAGAATATGCTCTGTTCAAAAGTAGGTTACAGAACAGAGAACCCAGAAATCGACCCAAGCCATTATGCTCAATTAATATTTGACAAAGGAGGCAAGAGCGTACAGTGGAGTCAAGACAGTCTCTTCAATAAATGGTGTTGGGAAAATTGGACAGATACATGCAGAGAAATGAAACTATGCTATTAACTTATACCATACACAAAAATAAACTCAAAATGGTTAAGAGACTTAAATCTAAGACAGGAAACCATAAAAATCTTAGACGAATCCATAGGCAACAAAATATCAGACATATATTGTAGCATCTTTACCCATATATCTCCTAGGACAATGGAAGCTAAGGAGAAAATAAATAAATAGGACTACATCAAAATAAAAAGCTTCTGCATAGCAAAAGAAACCATCAACAAAACAACAAGAGAGCCCACTGCATGGGAGAACCCATTTGCCAGTGTTATCTGCAATAAGGGTTTAATCTCTAAAATTTATAGGGCACTCATACAACTTAACAAAAGGAAGATAAAACAATTCAATCAAAACTGGGCAAAGGACTTAGTAAATAGACACTTTTTGAAAGAGGACATTGAGAAGGGCAAGAGACATGAAAACATGCTCAAGTCACTAATCATCTGAGAGATGCAAATCAAAACGACAATGAGGTACCATCTCACACCTGTCAGACTGGCTATCATCAACAAATCAACAGACGACAAGTGCTGGAGAGGATGCAGAGAAAAAGGAACCCTTCTGCACTGCTGGTGGAATGCAGACTGGTGCAGCCACTGTGGAGAACAGTCTGGCATTTCCTCAAAAAACTAAAAATGGGACTCCCATTTGACCCTGTGATCCCACTTCTAGGACTATATCCCAAGAAACCAGAAACACCCATCAGAAAGGACATATGCACCCGTATGCTCATAGCAGCACAATTCACCATAGCTAAGATTTAGAAGCAGCCTAAGTGCCCATCAGCAGGTGAGTGGATTAGAAAATTGGTACATCTACGCGATGGAATACTGCGCTGCGGTAACAAAGAAGGAACTCTTACCATTCACAACAGCATGGATGGAGATGGAGAGCATTATGCTGAGTGAAATAAGCCAGTCAGAGAAAGATAAATACCACATGATCTCACTCATTTGTGGAATATAATGAACAACATAAACTGATGGACAAAACTAGAGACAGAAGCATCTCAGAGAGAAGGCAGGAGAGGTAAGGGGGGTGGGTAAGCGATCAACCAAAGGACTTGTATGCTTGCATATAAGTAACCCGGGAGGACACAGACACTGGGGCAGTGGGGGCTTGTCCTGGCTGGTGGGAGTGGCCAGGGAGCGGCCAGCTGAGGAAAAAGGAGACATATAATAGTTTAAACAATAAAAAAAGAAGAAAATATTTGTGATACTTCTCATCTTTAAAAATGTTTTTAATATGTGTAATTTCTTTAGTAGGTTTACAGTTGTGAGTATGCAAATCACAGTGTATTCTTGTGTTACTATTGATTAATTGCTGTATTAATTGTTAGTAGTAGCAGTACTAACCTCCCTGGCCCTCCTGTCGTTTAGAAGGATCACGCGCGCCCTGACTGGCTGGAGGAGGGGGAACCTGGGAGGTTCAGGTTGTCGTTAGGGGAGGAGCGAGCCCAGCACCACGTGCTG